GAAATGGTCATCAGGATTTTGAGGCAAGACGCCGACATATGATTCACCTGGCTTTTTATCAATAGTCCATTTTACAGTTGCGTGCTTGGTTGCCAAGCCTTTTTACAACAAGGTCACCTTCAGCCTCACTTCAAATCAGAGGCTTGGCAACTAAGCACACAACTGTAAAATAGCCTATTGTCTAAGCTCGCGCTCGAGAAGTCAATTTCGTCTTAATTCAAGGAATTCCGTACAATAAAATACAGGCATTATAATCAGTCTAATCATCTTCGCGGCCTCTATGTTTTCAGCAGTGTCATATGACAACGTACCGTGAACGCATTATACAAACGTTTGCTTGCCTGACGATCTTTTCGGCACGCACTCGACAAGTCTTCGAAATTGTTGGGGAATAAGCTTGGGAAGAAAGTTCATTTTAAAATTTGAATGTTTAGTGAGTGAAGAAACATCACGTCACGTGTTTCTATTTCGCCGTGAAACAAAAAATCTTACAAGTTGAACTGTTTACCAACGGAACATTTTCATCTGGCGCATGAAAACAATGTGCTCATACTTTACTCCAGATCTCTGTATCAAATCTTCTATTGTATAAGGCGTCTTACAATGTTAATATACCACCTCATTTACCACATTCGCCTCTTAAATGTCCACAGTTAATCGTAAAGTAGGCTATGCTGGATCGTGGATCAAATCTGACCATATAAACGTTTTGAAATTTTAACCTAAGACGCCTTACATACTTTATTTTGAGTGATTGTACACTTAATTCGTAGTAGAAAGAGTGGTTTATTGACGTTTCTCCCCACTGCAAGTTCGCCCCCTGCCAGTTCACCCCATCAAATATAGCATGTTCGCCCTACGTTCACTATTTTGCCCAAAGATCTTCAACTCGTCTCCTTACGGCAAAACATATGGCCATTGTGATTTCTGTGGCATTATACTAGCTGTTGGTAACTGTTGCTTGTTTTGTCAGTGACAAGTTAATAGCTGCAAAACCTGGTTGTTGAAATAAGTCCTAGGCTAGATCTGAGATCTTATTTGTTTAGTGAAAATATTGATCTCCACTCTGCTACATGCAGAACTAAAAAGCGAAAACTGGATCAAGAACAGGAAAACCCCGATGACTTCCGAGAGCCTTCTGCAGAGGAAGATGAGCGGATTTCCTCAGCCTTAGAGTACGAGTTTCCTGACGATACGCAAGATATTTCTGACACCAGCACACATGACACATTTGGAGAACGAAAACTTATTCCCATGGATGAGAGAAGTGAGTTTTTTTGGTTTTAAGTTCTACTTTTTAAATTTGATAAATACAAATACCAGTTTAAAAAAATTGCAATTTGCAAAAAAAAAGTATGAAGTATATACAGCTTCTGTTTTCTCATCAGTGTCTCTTTTTGATGACGAAGCTAAGTGCGAAGCCTTCGACATGAAAATAATCTTTCACTATCATGCCAGCAAAACTCGTTTTCTTTAGAAAGTTGGGCATTTAGCTTCGTTTTGAACGTGAGGGTTCTCTGGAACTCGGAAATTTCCTATTAGATATTTACTGGCGTCTCATAGATGTAACCTAACCTTTATAGCATCCTCAAAAGATTAACCTTTGTCTAACATCTGGTGCAATCATTTCCATACATGGAGAGACTTTAGTATATGATTTGGTGAGCAAGATTGATTTAACCAATGAGAACGTTTGAAATACAATATCCCAGGCTGAGAATTAAATAGTTGGTAATTGAGAAACCACTATAATGGTCATAAACCAGATCAGAACATCCCATTTTCTACCGTGATACGGATTTTGTACATGGCGTGTATGTAAAATGGCATTTTTTCCATACTAGAATGTTATGTTTAAAACCATTGTTATTATCGTAAATGTGATCTTTTGCCAGAAGTTGACCACTTCATAAGGTGCTCAGATGAAACAAATATCTGGGTTCTCAATCAGCATGCAAGGATTCAGCTAGTGTATGCTCTTCAAAGCTTGTATGCTGAGAAGGCCCGTATGGAGTTTCTTGATGTGAGCAGGGAGGCCCAGGAGGTAAAACACAAGCTTCGATTGTGACAGTAATAACGTCAACTAGAAAAAACGTTGTTGAATATCTTTTACTTAATGTTTTGTTCTTCCCTTAGCCACAAAAGATGTAGTTTCAAAACATCTTTTCACAGTGATCATGATAGTCTCCCTTAAACGAAGAAAAATGCGCAGATTTGAAATATCCTCTTCTATTTAGTTGGTCATCTATCAGTATATAAACAAAATGCGTTGTAAGTAGTACATTATGTTGTAAAAAGAGCCAAATTGATGAAAAAACGGTGTGTAACCCCATCTTTTCACGTGAAATTGGTCCGGCTATCAGCGAATTCGTTCTCATAACAACAAGTTCTTCTTTTGTACCCTGAACACCGAATATGTATTTTGCACAATGACCCATTTGTCTCGAATATTTATTTTCGTTTCAGGGTCCCCTTTAGTGAAGAGCGAACTCATTATTTTGAAATTTTCTTACCGCTCATGTTGCTAGGTTTTTTATGATTTCATTTATGCACTTATACTTGGTGAGGTAGGGAGTGTCTTTCAAGGACAATTGACTTGGCTGTGCGCCTTTCCTTTTTCTCTAAATTTTACTGTTGAACTTATTCACAGAAACATCACCAGTATACAGCGTTGAGAAATAAACATGAGATCGATGTGATGAGGCAATGTGAAATTATTGGTATGACGGTGACTGGTGCAGCCATGAGAGCCAATCTGCTGGGTAAACCAACAACACGTTGTATTTGTTGTTGTTATTGATGTGAATATGTTGGTGGTAGTGCCGGTGCAAGTTCATTTCATCTCCTAATCAACTTCAGACTGTATGTTTAGTTTTCCAATTTTAGGATACTTCACATATAGCATAGACTTTGTGATAGTGTAGTGTGATCGTCCGGGTTAGTGTAATCTTAAGAAGGACTTTTGTCGGTAGTGGTGACTGACGTTTCGACAACCTGAGTAGAAGTCATCATTAGAATCAAGAGAATCATTAGTTGTTGTCAGTCAATTGATCTAAGTCCGGTTCGTATAAACTGATTAATTCAGTTTTGCCGTGATGTTATCCGCCGTAAGACTCAAGTGGCGTAGGTCGGTTGCGATCGGTCGGTTTCGATCTTTCAGTAAAGTCAGGTCGTTCTGTTCGGTTCGTCTGTAATGTTAATATCATGCATGAGTCGTTTGTATGGTGCCGGTAGAGGTTGACACCTTTTGAGGGAAATTTGTTCTATGTTTGCAAACCAGCTTTCCAGAGTCAGTCGTTGGAAGTAGTTGGTGCTGTCAATTAGGCATTGCGCAGAGTCCCAGTCAATAGTGTGTTTCGTAAGTCGATGATGTTCAGCAATGTGATTGTTGAAATCACCTTTCCTCGTCGCTAGCTTGTGTTTAGTCAGTCTTGTTGTGAGTTTTTGTCAGTCTCGCCGATGTAGGAGGCGTGGCAGTCAGAGCGATTGATTTTATAAACCGCTCCCTGTCTGGTCCTCGGTTCGTCCTTGTCCTTGACGTTTGTCAGTAACTGACGTAGTAAAGTGATGGGTTTGTGGACGACGTGGATATTGAAGGGTTGTAGGATGCACCAGATGTTCTCAGACATGCAATATCAGACATGTCATCACGATGTAGTCCTTGGAAACATACTAAAATTGTTTAAGTTTGTCAACTAGCTCTTTTAAATTACCCACTGTCCAAACAATGATTTTTTTTAAAAACTGGCGGGGAATTCGGTAACTTCGCGAATGTCATTTCAGTCACATATCATGCTATCACTTCGACTGATTCGTGAGAATTTTTTTGAGATGTGAAACCGAGAGCACCGACATAGTGTGAAGTTGGGCTCATTTTGCACTGACTTTTTATTATCGGGATTAAAATTATGGTTAAAATGGAGTTTCCATTCGCTACGTATGGTTCTGAATGATCGTAATGCCTTTCCACTCACAGTTCATTTGCTGTTGTTTAATATACTTTCAGAGGAAATAAAGCCATCAGTTATGATAGTAGAAGAAGCTGCCGAAATCTTAGAAGGACAACTTGTGGCAGCTATCCCGCCATCCGTTCAACACCTTATCATGATTGGTGATCATCAGCAGCTGAAACCTGTGGTACAAAACCCCAGACTCCGAAAGACTAATAACCTTGATGTCTCCATGTTCGAGAGACTTGTGAACTGCAAGATTCCTTTCAAGCAGCTTGAGTATCAATGCCGAATGAGAGACGACATTGTTGATTTGCTCCGAACGCTAAAAATCTATAAGGAGCTTAAAACAAAGACGGAGGTAAATGCTGGAAAGTATGGACCTAAGTGGACAATGGCTTTCGCACAAAGTTTATCTAAGGGAAGGTTATTACTTTTCGCGGGTGGAGGACACCTATTTGCCAGTGCTTGCCCTGCTGAGGCTAGGAGAGAATCGGCGCTCTAAGGGGTTAAAAACATAAATTCTTTGTGTTACTTACGTTAACGATTCCCTCTGTTTACTAACCTTACTGCCAAACCCATTCCCTCCATGCTAGATTTAAATCACTCCTTTAGCTACAAGGAGTTGAAATTGGTTTTGCACGGAGTTACAGAGCTTGAAATGTATAGTTATTTGTTCTACCTCTCTAGCTAATTCGCAACAATCATCTTCCACATTGTGTGGAGAAGAGCATGTACTTCTGCCGCCACACAAGTGAGGAGAAACCATCAAAAGATTCCCTCAGCAAACGAAACGTCCATGAGGCCAGAATGATCACGGAAGCTGCAAAAACGTTTTGTCAACAGGGAGTTCGTCCATCTAGAATTACAGTACTTTGCGCATATCGAGGACAGGCAAGTGAACTTTGGATGCTTTTAATCTCTACAACCGAAGTATGATTTCATCCTGAGAACATGCATAGTGATAAAATTAACATCCTTTGCAAAGTTCAGGTGGGTCACAGCAGTTTACAGCTCTGTTTTTTTAATTCACCATTATTGCTGCTCTGAGTCTGGTGATGGTGAAATACTCCTTTTTAAATGTCCAATCTTTGTAAATCATATTATGACTGTCCTTGTTACTTAACTCAAGTTGAGCCATCATAACAACATTATAACCTGTTAAATACATTCTTATTTTTATCTATGAAAGTTAGCAACCTAAAATGAACTTGGAAACCCCATTACTATTTTTGAATGGTGTTCTTTTCATTAAGATAAAACTTTTATGTAAATTTAAGAGGCTCTAAATCCCAGTTGTTTAAAAATGTGCGAAAAGTTTCTTTTGTTTAATGATTTTGGAATTGTTAAATAAAGAAAATGGGGGGGGGGGGCCTACTTAGCTGGTTTTCGAAATGGCTAACACTACGAGCATATGTAATGTTCAGCAAAGTTTGTTTAATACCTTCTTTTCATCACCTCATGTAGGATGATAGCTATGATACATCGAAGACCAAGCATTGTACACAGTTGCAAGTGCTACCGTTTGACCCTCAGATACCTGATCGAATTGCAATGTATTTGTCAGTGTTTGCCTTTTTGGGGGGAAGACGAAGACTGCACCATCTACCATATCACCCTTTAGACACTGACTACAAGCAAATGGCGACAAGCTAGCACACATGGTGCAAGGCTGGTGGGGGGCGATTCTGATTCCCACCTTTGAAGCATCGCTTTCCCTTATTGTTGCTGATGAGCCGTTCATCGCAACGGTACACAGAACTCACAGATTCTTTTTCGTTTTCATGTTTATTCTCCGTACAATAAGTCACTAAGAAGACTTATGAATTAGAATAAATTCTAGAAAACTCTCTCCCTGAAAACTCTCAATTTTTGTCGTGTCCGGTTGTCTGATTTTGCTCACACGTGTTTTTTACCTTATTTGGTAGTATTCGCAAGTGTCACAAACGAAGAGGGGTGGGGTCCGTCAAAACTCTTGAATACTGTCAAGGAGAACAAATAATACATTGTCTTCAGGAGGTTACTTAGGGTACCAGTTGCTCTCTCTATGTATATCCAAACTGGACTGATAACTACAGGATACCACTGGCCATTTTTTTTTATCTTGTTCTAATTGTTAAGGTGATATACTCCTTTTGCAGGTCACTGAAATAAAAGATTTCTTCCAATCCACAAATGTTGAGAAAATGGGTGAGATTGAGGTGACGACGATAGACGCTTTTCAGGTATGGAAAGTTCCTCTCATGTCTTTTATCAATGTGAAATAGAACAATGGTTAACTTCTTTAAAAACATTTATCATTTTCAGTTGAAAATCCTTTCCTTAGTGTGGTCCCGAGACATTTAAACTTTAAACTCCGTGGTAATAAATTGATATGACTAAAATCTTATGGCATCATTGAAGAAAGTGTAACGAGTTAACTAGTGTAAGCAATTCGGCAAACAATTAAAGGATATAATGTGATTCGAATCCGTCACCCTCGCGATCCCGGAGAGATTCTGTACCAAATGCGGTGCTTTGAAGTGAAAGGAACGGAAAATTTTAAAAAAAGAACTATCTACGACGTTTGAGAATGAGGTTCTTATCATACCTAATCATTTTCTTCTACAGGGGCAGGAAAATGACATCATTCTCGTTTCTCTGGTCCGCAGTAACAATGAGAACAAGATTGGTTTTTTTGTCACAAAAGAATCGTATTTGTGTGGCAATTTCACGAGCACGTTGTGGCTTGTATCTCTTTGGTAATCAAGCTCAATTGGAGTATAGGTCACCAGTCTGGAGGGTGTGTTGAGTTATTCTTAATCTCGCAACAGATAGTTGGGTGGTCTGTGACTTACGGTCACTGTTGTGGACTTCTGATAAACCAATCAGGTTTTTAGTCCCATTACCAAGTTCTAGGGCAGGAAATCTCTTTATTACTGTTCATACTCCACCTAAGAATGTTATTACCAAGGCAGCATGATGTAATGCACTTTGTTTTTTGTTTTGTTTTTTGTTTATGTGGCGGTTTTGTTGAGGGTAGTTCGTGATAGATGAGCGTTCCACCAAGATGCTCAGAAAAACTTGGAATCAGCTATATTTGTTATCCTATGACAAATGTGTTTGAGTTTCTTGACCTTTAGCTGGTTAGAAATGGATGATATTCCTCCTAAAAAAACTTATTATTAGTGTTATGTTTTGGCTTTTGTTTGGTATGTAAACACAACTTCAGAACAAAGAGAATAGTTAAACTTAACAAGAAGGAAAAATGATGAGGTATTCCTTTCTTTGCCAGGCTATCGTCAAGTTCATGAAAGAGAAGGATTGTCTCGTTAAAGAAATTCCATTTGTAACTGTAAGTAACACGCGAAGTGTTAACTGTAATATAAGCACTTGTTATGCTGTCGTTCAATTTCTTCCGAATTTGAGTTATGAACGTAACACGAGATACAGGGTTTCCTACGTTTAGTGAGTAACCTCCGCCCCCCGAGTAAGCGCCTCACTCCAATGAGCACGACATTTGGGACTAAATAATCGCTGCGGCCGTGGCACGGCGCTTATTCGAGGAATTGATTCTCAAGCTCCAATGCTACATACACAGTTGGATATCCTGAGGCAACTAGATGCAAATTCCTTCGAGTGCAATCAATCCAAATTCTGAACTTCACCCTAAATTCGTAACCTTGGTTTGTTTTACTTTCATGCCTGCCCTAAATATTTGGGTGATTTCAGTACGTAGTAAAAACTTTTAAACCAAACTCAAGAAATCCAAGGATATGATTGATACAGAGACACAACCTTTCAAATTTCTTTCGTTTCAACTTTTACATGTAGGCTTCTGGTAGCCGTTCTGAGGGTGAACCCGAGAGCAGTTCTTCTTTAGATGGAAAAAGACATGGAGTTAGTAAGTACAGGATATTTATTGTCTTGTTTACGGTTATCTATGAAACTCATCGTAATGAGCGTGGAACAAAGATTAAAACTGTTCTTGTTCTTTGTTTGAAAATCCATATCTTCGTATCCAGATTTGGAACGTAGTGTACCCTGGTGATTCTTATGATGCATACGTGTGAACTTTAATATGAGTCTGGACTGTTAACAGAAAAAAAAGCGCCGAATACATGTGAAATCTGGTGGCAATACTGCATTCTAAAGCGTCTTTTTTGTATTTTTGTGATCTTTAGCAAACATAACGTTGAATGCGCAGACCATCAATGCAGTTATTGGAGAAAAAGGGACGTTGCAGTTTACAACTGGTGAGGTTTTTTGAAGGTGTTTTTGTATTTACCTATCCTTTTTTACCGCAATATTTTGCTGTAGGAGGAAATTCTTGCCCTACAGCTGAAAGTTATTGTTTCTTGTGATTTTTTCTATTTTCATTTTTGTTATTTTACTTTTTGAGACCTTCTTCAAGATCGTGGCTAGTTACCTTTCATTATTTAAGTTAATCAACAGTCTAACAGTCGAAGTGAGCGGCATCTTAATTACTATTGCGGGTGAAGAAAAAACGTCTCCTAAGTATCCTATGAAACTGGCAGTGTTGACTCCCTTGAGTGCCAGAAGGAAATTAATGTACTGTGGCTATATACCAACTTATTTCTAGGTTCGCGTGCGATATTTGAGTATAACTGCCGCTATCTCGGATTGCACAATTTTAGAGCAATAAGAATAAGTCACCTTACTCTACTGTACGATTAATAGGAAGGTGTGAACTTCAGTTTTATAGCTGTAAACTAAGAAACGGCAAGAGTCATGGCAATTTTTATTCTCCTAGACAAGTCTACGTCGGGAGAGATGATAACTCATCATTTTCCAATACCTGCATCTGGTGAGAGAAATGTTCAGAGTCTGTCGTCCGCTGGGACGCCCTTACAAGAAACAGAGAAATCGAAGGTCGAGACTGAAGAGCAGAGTAAAGAGGCAGGCAAATTCCCTATTCAGGAGGAAGGTTTTGAAGAATTTAAAAAGGAAAAGCCAGTGCAAGAGACGCAAATATCAAGAGAAGCGCAAAAAGTGAAGGACGAGGACATAAGAAAAGCGGGCGAAGACGAGAGATTCCAACAAGAATTTGGTAAAGGAGAGCCACTTCAAGCCGAAAACGACCGTTCCACCGAAGCAAGTGAAAGTTACAAAGAAGAGGCGTCACCCATACAGGAGACGATGGCCGCGGGTAAAGGGCCTTTTGAAGAGACTGGGCTTGAAGTTGGCGTGAAGATACAGCATTCGGACGAGAAGGAATAGTAACTACTACCTGATCTTAATGCTCACCGGCAAAAAGAAAATTAATAGGAATATTTATAGAATATAGCGTGTTCATGGGAAGATATGCGTTTAACTTTGTAACTCGCCGTTAATCCTGTGTAAATAACCAAGGCCTCCAGCTGTCTTCGTCGATCATAATTTTTAACTTTTGAAAATTTTATCTATGCACAACATTTTGTGTGCCTAAGGTTTTAAGGGATGCTATTCTAATTTGTAGATTTTGCTATAATGATGTTATAATCAATGGCACTTTGTTAAGGAAAGCAAAGTCTGTACCTTGCCAGAGCTTATTCTGGTTTCCTTAGCGTGAGGCGAGTAGGAGTACTACCCCTCCCCCCTGGATTGGGGTGCTGGTTCTTCAGGGTGGAGAGAGGCACTGTGATAGTAAAGTATTTTGATCAAGAACCGAACAAGATGACCCGGCTAGCTCTCGAACCCAGACTCCAGCGCATTAATCATTGGGCCACAGCGTGTTCCACTTAGTACCTTGTAGGTGGTTAATTTTAGCGCTTACCAGTCATTTACTTAAATTATCTTACCTACTAATCTGAGGCAAGCACAAACTAGTGCTAGTTTTAAATCCGGCTGCAGGGGTTTCCTTTTTGATAATAAATAAGTTAATTAATCACACAACATTCATGGAAAGCAGGCACTTCGCTATTGTTTTTATTTTGTTGTTATTAGATTTAATTAAACAATGTAATTAATGCAATTTTAGTAATTACTTGAAGTCCTGATGTTTTATCTGTGTATAAATGAAGTTAAATAAATAAATAACTCTCAGGTACTAGGCACGCTATCACTGGCCGATTTCACCGGATATGGGAGCCTTCAAGTGCTTACCGTTCTTAGCCAAGTGTAACGAGAGAATTTTCAGTTTTTAAGGTTACTATGCTTAATGCTATAGAAACAACATTGAGACTGCGGAACTTTTGCGAAGCTCAGCAAAGCGTAAATGCTGTCAGTTGTTGTTCAGCCAGCCTTGAACAGTTGTTGTTTGACATTATCAGTAGTTAGTGTTTAACTGTAGCCGTTACCTGTCCTAGTTTTTTCTTTAGTTGTTTGCGGTGCTTTGAGATTGATTAATCTTGTGAAAGGCAAAATTCCTTTCTAGCCAATCATTTTTATTGTAATGTATAGGGTGGTTCAAAGCGTGACTTAATCCTTTAGATAATTCATGGCATTACCTAATCCTTTGTAGTTTGGGCTTGGATAGAACTGTGTCGTAAAGGTTTCTTTGGTTTCAACAAGCGTTGTGCCTGGTCACAACGAGTGTAGCACTTGGTCAAGGCTAGGTCAGTATTTGATGAGGATTTGGTGTATCTTGACGAACCAGGACCGCAATTTAAAGCGCGTGTTTGAGACAAATTTATTGTGAAAGTCTTTTGTCCTAAGGAGTCTCAACCTTCGCGCTGTCAGCGAGTGTTCCCCCATGAACTTGTTTGAGTTTTTCCCACCCGTACTGTTTTTTGTGAAGCAAGACACATGTTTTGAAGGCAAGAAACCTGTTTTCACACAAGAGAGAGAAGGGAAGAGAGAGGGAGAGTAAGAGAGGAAAACTTCTAATTTGTCTGAAATAAACGCACACATCTGTTCATAGTCCCTGAGCTGCATTTTTCACGCACACTTTCGTCTCCTTCTCAGCATTGTTTTTGTCCTGTCACGCAACGCCTTCTCCCCCCGTTGGAGAGAGACCGCGTTGCGTGACGATACTAAAAACATAGGCATGCTTCGCATGCAAAAGATATTTTTGTTGGATGGGTGGGTTGAGGTTGGACAATTTGTGTAACTGATGTTTTTCACTTTTAAAGAACAAGAGCATAACTTTCAAAAGCAGCAAAATATCGCATTACTTTACCTTAACTTAAGAAAAAAGATAACTCAAAAATGCTCAATTTTTTGATCGAGCTCCACAGGAACTCTCGAGTCGAAAAACGCAAGCCGTCCTTTCTCTCTTTTGGTCGCCAAATCTGCACCATGGTCCCAGGCGTTCTTAGCCGAGATGCTAGAAACTGGGGATGAGAATCGCCAGCCTACCCTAATAGGTTTGCCTCTGTCCCTGATATCATGCTATTTCCTTCTGCTCAAATATCTGGAGGGGTGGTACAAAGGCCGAAATTTTTGCCTGATTACATAGAATTAAAACATAATTTAAAATGACATCTGTCGCCCCACGCTAGAATGATAAGGCTGGTTTTTCCCTCTTGCAGCTCCATCCTTGATAAAATCTCTTATCTTATCTTGATCACGTTTATATGATAGGTGTGGTAGCCTGCCCTGGCTGGTGGCTTGATCTGTCGGGTAGGGTAACCCTATCTGCTTGGGTCGCAATGTGCTATGTAAACGTCTCAGGAGGGTAACCCGCCTAACCGGGGTCGCGTTCATGTTTCAAGCGCGTCAAAAACCTCACCCCGGTAAAATTGTTCGTAAACGCAAGCTATTTTTCGAGCACAGCTAGGCAGGTTACCTCACCTACCTGGAGTACCCCACCTTCATGCAAACAAGCCCTTTAAGGGAAGACGGCATGACTCCTTGAACGGCGTGACGCGCTAGACAGAGAAGTTCTTGCCACGCATTTGTAACCGAAGGAAAAAAGAAAGCCGGGAAATGTTGGTGTACTTCTTCCTAATTGGAATGTAAGGTACCATAATGATTCGATTTCGCGCCCTCCTTCCAATAAGCACCCCCCCTAAAAGAGCCTCCCTCGAATCTGTTTTGCCAGTAAGCGCCCCTGTTCTAGTAAGCGCCCGTATTGAGTAAGCACTCTCATTTCAATAAGCACCCCTATTCTGTTTCAGTAATAGCACTGCTAGAGTGCTTGTACACTAAGATCAACCGTAGTCCATCTTCCTTTAATTGCTCACGTGAAGCCTCAAGACAAAAAAAGTGGTCTTTGTCCTAGTCTCTAAACTATTATGTCGCTGTGAGAGCTCAGTTTCTTAAAACGAAAGATCCTGCCTTAAAATTTTGCAACAATTGCTCGGCTAGTTGTTCTAGCAAGGAAGGGCCCACGGACAATAAGTGAGTTCTCCAGTCTTTTTGATCCCCAATCCAACGAACATCAAAGCTTTGTTTCACATTCTGCTGATTCTCAAAAAAGAGATAAACACCTTGTCCCCTTGAGATGAGCGCCCTGTTTCAAAAAAGAGATGAGCACCTTGTCTCTAGTGAGTGCCCTGTTTCACAAAAGCGAACTCTTGTGATAAATTGTTGAATGGGAGAGGGATAATAAACTTTTTTTTCATGCAGTAGGGTGCTACTCACTCAAAGAGAAGCCAGCTCTCATTAACGATGTAGTAACAGCGTCGAAATTCGTGAAAAGTATGCCAGGAATCTGGTATTAGGAACCTACCAAGACGTCTGGCAAGCTTAGCCGCTCAAACAGCTGTGTAAATAAGACCTTGCTCGCAGGCCAAGGTTCAAAACGAGCGTGGTAGAGTTCTGTACTTACAAATTGTTGCTTGGTCTAGGGCAGGACGATGAGATGTGTATCAGAGGACCAACAATTATGAAAGGTTATATTTGATTATGAGCGAACCATAGTACGCTCCTGAAAACTACGTATTCAAGGCCAGGTTACCCATGACTTCCGATGTCACACGTGTTTTCCGTAGCATGAACCATCAAAGAGTGGCGCATGTCACTAACTCTCTCTACATGCACCTGAAAATTGTCACACTAAATTGAAATCGTGGAATACTTAATAAACTGAAAAGCCGCGGGCTAATTTACTCAGGTTTCCATCTCAAAGTGAGGATCAGCAGAAAACTTTCAAAACAGTCAGTGCTTTGACGGGGGTTGAGGAAGGGAGGGGGGGCGGAGGGAAAAAATATCTTTTGCACAACAAAGTTTTATTCTTAAACTCGCCGAAAACCAGCCGCAAATTGTTTTATTTTGATCTCAAAAGCGAATTCGTTACTTGCGCATACGTTATTACGCTCTGTATACTCTTTCTGGAAAGCATAGAAGTCAGTTCCACGAAGTTCGTCGCTGTGTCCTGATCGGGGTAAAAATGACTAAGACAAATAACTAAATTTACAGATTCAGTGACGAGACCTGACGAGAGTTAAGCGATTGTGAACGACTACGCCCGGAAACCTAACGAAAATTGATTCTTTTCTGTCTCGGCAAAAGCGGTAAAATTTCTCTTAGAGGAAAATCGCTCTACGCGCGTCTTCGCTATTTGTCCCCAAGCGGGTGCCGTCCCCTGGCCAAACGTTGGGCTAATGTCGAAGTAAATCTGTATACTCGTTTAATCTCTGTCTCGGCAAAAACGGTAAAATTTCCTCCAGTGGAAAATCGTTCTTTGCGACGCGTCTTCGCTTTTCGTCTTTAAGCGTCTGTATGAAGTGACAATTTCTCCCAGGTTACCTGAATAATCCTTAAGCTACCGGCCAAATGGTAGATAAGGACAGATGGGAGCACAACGGTGATATAAGACATTATGACGTAAATAGGGCATTTCGACGAGACTGGGGAGAGCGTCACAGAATGTAGACGTGTGCTGCGAGGCTCCGTAAACCGGACAATTTTACTACCGTTTGAACGTCCATGGAAAAATTATTCATCACTCCAAAACGGAAAAGTAGCTATCGCAGTGATTCGGAGCCGTCACCAGAAGATAAAAGACTGAAAGAGTCTAATTCTCCGGCTAAGATATCGTGTGGCGAAGACGAGGTCATGGAAGCACTCGGATCCAAAATAGATTTAGTGTTATCGAAGCTTTCTAACCTGGAAACAAAAATGGAAGAACTGAACGCAGCAGTCAAAGGTCTACAAAGCAAGGTAACGTCTTTGGAGAGAGAAGTAGATTCAGTGAAAACGAAGCAGAAAACCTTAGACGAATACTTCACTTCAATGGAACAAAGTTCTGTATTCGTTGACGAGCAAGTACAAGACCTGATAGCTAAGACTAATAAAAACAATGACGACGTCAGCGATACACGTAGAAAACTGTTATACTTGGAGGCCTACAGTCGACGCGAAAACTTGAAATTTGAAGGCATCCCCGAAACTTTCGCTTCGAGCGAAGAAGAGGGAGCTATTTATTTCATTCAAACCGCACTCGATTTTTATACCCGGCTCATTTTCATATTTTAAGAATGTAATATCTATCAACTTACTCTTATGGATAACGTTTGCTTTAATGTTCTATCCTTGAATGTTAGAGGAATTCGTGATCTCAACAAACGCAAATCGATCTTTACATGGGCTAGGAACCAGAAAGCGGATATTATTTTTTTGCAAGAGACATATAGTACGCCAGATGTTTTTGATAGTTGGAAATTTCAGTGGTTGGGAGATATGTATTATTCGCACGGATCCGATCATAGCAAAGGCGTTCTGGTGTTAATACGTGAGACCCTTCAATTTGAGTTGAAGTCGGTCAAGAAAGATAGCCAGGGCAGATTCGTCATCGTTGAAGCGTTAGTTCAAGATTCTCCCGTTTTGTTGATCAATATTTATGCTCCTAACAATACCTATGACGCTGTTGACTTCTATGAAAACCTTAGGACTACTTTACTTGAGAGTGACTATGACCAGGACTACAGGTTTATTATGGGAGGTGATTTTAATGTGCCATTAAGTCTTCAACTTGATAGCTATGGAAGTAAAACAGAAAAAAAAGACGTGGTAACCAAAATCCGCGAGCTAATGTTAGCCTTTAACCTAGTAGATATATGGAGACTAAGGAACCCGGATAAAAAGCGTTACACGTGGAAACAAAATAAGCCTTTAGTCCAACGTCGGTTAGACTACTGGCTAATAAGCGATGATTTTCAAGATGACGTGGACAGCACAGGTATAATTTCTGCCATTAAAACAGACCACGCTGCTATTGTACTCCAGGTTAACAGTGTTGAAATGCAACCAACTGGGCCGTCATATTGGAAATTTAACTCTAGCCTGTTAGAAGATCCAGAATATATCAATCTTATAGAAGGCAACGTTCCCTCGTGGCTAGTAGAATTTAATGAAGTGTTAGACAAAGGTCTTCTGTGGGATTTAATTAAATACAAAATAAGACAAGTAACAATGAAATATAGCAAAACAAAGGCAAAAGAAAGGAGAAGTCGTCTTTGCGAAATCGAGAATAAATTGAAAGAATGCCAAGAGATTTTTGACTCTAATCCGACAGAAAATAACGCTGTACAGCTGGAAACGATCAAATCTGAGTACAACTCACTGTATGATTATATTATTCAAGGTAATGTTATTCGTTCTAGAGCCAATTGGTATGAACATGGTGAGAAAAATAACAAATATTTCTTAAATTTAGAAAGTAGAAAGATGAGCAACTCTTGCGTCCGTAAACTTTTTGATAAAGGCGGTAAATTAATAACTAATCCTAAATCAATTTTATCAGAATTGTATGACTTCTATACTGAATTGTACTCTAACCGCGACCCACCCAATCATAACAATGTTAGCGATGCGTTTCTTGACCAATGTCGTTTGCCAACTTTAAACGAAGATGCCAAACAAATTTGTGAAGGGGTTCTTACAAAGGCGGAGTGTTTTAAAGCTCTACAAACGTTTAAAAACGGAAAATCCCCAGGTAACGATGGCCTGACAGCAGAATTTTATCAAGTATTTTGGCCCACCTTAGGACATTTGTTAGTTGACTCTTTAAACAGTTCCTATGGAAAAGGAGAATTGGCAAACTCCCAAAAACAAGGAATTATAAAACTTATTGAGAAGAAAAACAAGGATAAAAGATATGTTGCGAATTGGAGACCCATTTCTCTGTTAAACGTGGATGTTAAGATTGCGTCCAAAGCTATAACATTAAGACTCGAGAAAGTTCTTTCCGACTTAATTAGTGCTGAACAGTGCGCATATGTGAAAGGAAGGAACATCTTTGATGCAGTACGAACTATAGGTGATATTATGGACTATACAAAGTTATACAATCTCCCCGGTCTCATGGTGACCATTGACTTCGAGAAAGCGTTTGACTCCTTAAGTTGGAACTTCCTTTTAAGACCTTGGAAAAGTTCAATTTTGGAGAATCCTTTATTAGGTGGATACGTCTTTTCTATACTAATATATCCAGCTGCATTATGAATAATGGTGTAGCAACTCCTCTTTTTTCAATCGGAAAAGGGGTTAGACAGGGAGACCCTCTCTCGCCCTATTTATTTATTTTAGCCTTGGAAACCCTCCTTACCGCTATCAAACAGACTCGAGATATAAAAGGTATAGTAGTAGAAAACAAAGAAATCAAATGTATCACTTTCGCCGATGACTTAACAAACTTTTTACGCGATAAGGAATCTTATGACTCTCTTAGTTCCTTATTGAACACATATGGTGAATGTTCAGGGCTTAAACTAAATAAGGACAAAAAAGAAGCCTACTGGTTAGGAAGTTCCTATCGAAATCACGAAGCTCTCGATATTAATAAGGTGAATGAGCCAATTAAAATACTAGGTATATTTTTCACTTATGATCAGCGTAAAAGCAGAGAGCTTAACTTTGACCTTACTTTAAAGTCAATAAGAAAGTCCTTAAGTTGCTGGCAATGGAGAAACTTAACATTAATTGGTAAAATTCAATTAGTCAAAACATTTGCTATGCCTAAGTTTATGTATCGGGCCTCCTTTATCTCTTTTGATAAGGATATAATTAAAAGCATAAATTCTGTGATATTCAATTTTGTGTGGAGAGGCAAAGACAAAGTCAAAAGACTAGCCTTAATTAGTGAATACGAAGACGGTGGCCTCAAAATGCCTCACCCTGAATCTTTAATTAAAACTCAAAGAATTGTGTGTCTTGCAAGGTATTTAGATGATAATAGTAGTCCGTGGAAAGTTTTCTTGTCTCATTATCTTAAGAATGTAGGAACCAGTTTTCTGCTTCAGTGCAATTTCAATCCATCGCGCCTACCCTGTAAACTACCTTCTTTTTATAAAGAATGTCTTGAAGTTTTGTCTGACTTTAATGGCAATCACGATATAATAGCTACAAAACAGGACGTTTTAAATGTGACTATCTGGAACAACCAGAACCTCTTGATTAACAAGAAATCAATATACAACAAGAGAATAAAAGAAGCAGGTTTTGTGAAACTTGGAGATATTCTCTCAAATGACTCAAAATTAAAAAGGTGGGACGCTTTTAGAGAGAAAAATCTCTCCTTGTCAGATTACTTACTCCTACAAGGCATTTTTTCCGCCATTCCGCCTAACTGGAAACAGCTCCTTAACGTTGGAGAGAATAATAACAACCGAATTGACAAAACTGTTTCAGACGATGTTCAAGATATAACTAGAATGACTTCAAAATCAATCTATTCCACCCTGGTCAAACGAATCCAGATTTCTCCGACTGCCCAATCTAAGTTTAATTCCGTATATAATATTTCAGGTAATGTAGACTGGAAAAATATTTATCTATTGCCGGGTCGAGTCACTCTTGACACCAGAACGAGAGCCTTTCAATACAAAATCTTAAATCGTATTCTCTACACCAATAAAATCCTATATAAAATGAATTTGGTTCCTTCTCCGATGTGTACCTTTTGTGGAGATCACGAAGAAACTCTTGAGCATCTTCTAATCAGCTGTACCTACACTAAAAACTTTTGGCTTTCGGTTATTTCTTGGTTAAATACTTACAATATGAAAATTGATAAGCTTGATGAGGTAACAATCCTCTTTGGTATTTCCGATAATAACCCTGGGAATTGTTTGTTAAATCACATAATCATTCTTGGAAAATATACCATTTATTCATGTCGTTGTAAAAATATCAAGCCGTCTGTATCCTTACTGAAAGCTAAAACATCTGAAACTCGGAAATTTGAATTTTTGATTGCAAAAAAGAATAAAAAAGAATCTATTCGTTATAAAAAATGGGAAAACATGTTATTGTAACTCAATAGATGAGTATCGGGTATTAACAGTTATAGACGCAGTTGTATATACAGTCGTTCTACCAAAAAAGGAATTTGATGTAGAAGTATTTGTACAAATTAGGTTTATATTATTATATAACCACAACATAAATTAAATCTAGCCGACTGTGAATGTAATGTAATGCAGTATTTCGTAATTAGTGTTAGTGAGTAGCGTAAGCGTTAGTGTAATTAACTTTGTATTTGTTTGTATTACTCTAGTATTTGTGCTTTAAGTGAAAATAAAAAAAAATAATAAATAAAAAAAAAAAAAAAAAATAGGGCATTTCTTTAACGTGGACAGGTTGAAAGAACTTATCAAGTATAACGCATTTCAGATAAGGTTTTAATTCTAATACTTCTTGTAAACTTTTTGCTATCTTGCGACCTTGCTTAAGGTCTAAGACCCTTAAGTGGAGAGGAATTTGGGTCTGGTGACGAATGTAAAGCGTTAGGGTCTATGGAGAGAAGGAACCAAAAAGTCCTTTAAATTCTCTTCATTTTTTCGCCTGAATTTTTAGATGAGGAACGCCTGAGTATGAGTAGAATTTTGGTTCGAATATATCGCGGAGAGCCGCTCGTTTTCAGCTAAAACAAAACAGCAAATTTAGAGTGAATTGACCAGTAATGAAACCTCCATACAGGAAACAGCGGTTGATACCATCAGCCGCTGTTTCCTGAGGACTGGAAAAAGTGTCTCCAGAACAGAGTTGTCTCAGTAGAGAACGTAGCATATAAGCGACGTATAACTCACCGCCGGGGTTAACCCTTTACACCCTAACATCAGTGTTCATATTCTCCTTACTGCCTCTATACATTTCCTGAAGCGCTGACAAGGAGAATTTGTTTAAAAATCAAGAGCTTTATGAGTTGGTGATCACTTCCTTGATTCTCATGACCTTAATGTTTGATTCAGGGGTGATATTGTGAGAAGAAATTAGAAGCTGGTCACTTTTAGGGGTTAAAGGGTTAAGGCTCGAAAAAGGACCCTTGGATAACAAGTTCCACGCGCCAGCGATCAAGCCAGCTTTTCTTCATGAGTTCTTAACGGTGCCTCATGATAGTCCACTTTTTTCCGACTGTCTGTCATTATTACTTTGGTTTTGGTCGCACGACACTAATTGAAACACGCTCACGATAGCTTTAAACATCGTATTCGATAACATCGTAGCTTGCAGAGCTGGCGTAATTGTGGCGAGCG